GACAGCCATATAAACAGACCTAGCTTTTTAATGTAGGTATTAGGCTCTGGTATTTGCACTCTTATGTAGTCTGTTGGGAGTTTGGATACCATGTGTGGGTTAGGCAGTTGACAGGATAACAACTGTCAAACCTTATGTGATCTTTGACCCTTGGCTCTCAGGCCAGGTTCACATATAAGTGTTTGTGGTATTATGTCTTATCGCAGTGCATGGCAACTAAACATGCACTTATTTTGAACGGCACCCCAAAACACTAAGCAGTGCACCTTCATTGCAGCGAACCACAACGCACAGATGCATTGAGTCAACAAAAATCAGGTCAGCTCAGGTGTGTTTTCTAGTTTCATTGTCTGTTGTGGTGCTTTGGCACTGTTTTGGAATGAATGGTTAGCTTTAAAGAGGTAGTAAACTCTGCTTTGTATCTTGTATGTACAGGTAAGCCTAGAATAATGATTGCCTATAGACACAGTGAATATCTCCTAAACTTTCACCATTTATGAGATATTTACATGTGTAGTAGCCGGTGATGTCATGCCGTCCATTGAGAGAGCTGTGCTACCACCGTGACTCACGTGCCGTGACATCATTACAGGTTGGCCATTGAAACAGGAGCCCACGATCCTGGATGGAAGACTGGATGAAGATGGAATCCCTATCAGCAGTGACAGTGTGCCACTGGAGAGATCTGTGTTTTAGGCAAGTCTGTCATAATATGCTAGTATGTGGTGCATACTATCATATTATGACATGAGTATGCAAGGGGACCAATTTGTTTATTTTTGTAATGTGCTTTACTACCAGTGACCAACCCATACATTGCTGGACTGGAAGGGTGATATCTCGGTCACTGCATTTTTTAGGGCCCGCAATTCCCTTAAATATAAAAGTAATCCTATTGGCTATGAAGCTGCTGGATTAACTTTACAGACGGCTGAATCCTGGATCTCTCCATATCTATTTACTCAGGGTAACATCATCTTTTATATTTTACCAAACAATTGAGTATTATATGTATATGCGTGTGTAGTGGGACACCTGCCTTCACACGCACGTGAACTTTATTTGCATCCCAGTCTTAATCCGTAGGGTTCAATATTGAGTCGGCCCACCCTTTGCAGCTACAACAGTTTCAACTCTTCTGGGAAGGCTGTCCACAAGGTTTAGGAGTGTGTCTATGGGAATGTTTGACCATTCTTCCAGAAGTGTATATGTGAGGTCAGGTGCTGATGTCGGATGAGAAGGCCTGGCTCGCAGTCTCTGCTCTAATTCAGCCCAAAGGTGTTTTGTTGGGTTGAGGTTCAGGCCAGTGAAGTTCTTCCACCCCAAACTCACTCATCCATGTCTTTATGGACCTTTCTTTGTGCATTGGTGCGCAGTTATGTTGGAACAGGAAGGGACCCTCCCCAAACTGTTCCCACAAATTTGTCCAAAATGACTTGGTATGCTGACGCCTTAAGTTTTCCCTTCAATGGGACTTGGGTGCCAAGCCCAACCCCTGAAAAACAACCCCACACCATAATCCCCCCCCCCCAAACTTTACACTATGCAGTCAGGCAAGTACCGTTCTCCTGGCAACTGCCAAACCCACACACGTCCATTGGATTGCCAGAAAATAAAGCATGATTGGTTACTCCAGAGAACATGTCTTCACTGTTCTAGAGTCCAGTGGCGGTGTGCTTTACACCACTGCATCGACACTGCATTACACTTGGTGATGTAAATCTTGGATGCACTGTTGTGCTAATCCTGAAGACCACACAAAGTTTAGAGGTCTTTAGCTATTGACTCTGCAGACAGCTGGCGACTTCTGCGCATTGTGCGCTTCAGCATGCACTGACCCCACTCTGTCATTTTATATGTCCTACCACTTCATGGCCAAGTTGCTGTTGTTCCCAGTTGCTTCCACTTTTTTATAATACCACTAACAGCTGACCATGGAATATTTAGTAGCAAGGAAATTTCACAGATGGACTTGTTGCACAGCTTGCAACCTATCGTGGTACCACGCTTGAATTCAGTGAGCTCCTGAGAGCGACCCATTCTTTCACAAATGTTTGTAGAAGCAGTCTGCATGCCTAAGTGCTGGATTTTATACACCTGTGGCCATGGAGGTGATTGGAACACCTGAATCCAGTGATTTGGAGGGGTGTCCCAATACTTTTGGCAATATGGTGTGTGTGTGTATATATATATGTATATATTATATATATATATATATATATATATATATATATATATATATAGTGTGTGTATATACATATATATATATAGTGTGCGTGTGTACATACATACATCAGATAACATAACTATTAGACTTATCACCATTTTTCTAGGTAAATATATTAGTACAAGTGCTACTGACATGAAATTAAAAAAACCTAAAAACCCATGAAATCCATATATAGGAAGAAACCAAAACAAATAAGTTCATAAATTAAGGTATGTGTAATAAAATGGAATGACACAGGGCAAAACTATTGAACACATGAAGAAAGGGAGGCGCAAAAAGGCATGGAAAGCCAAGACACTAGCTGAAATCTATCAATAATTAGTAAGTAATCCTGTTCCTTGTCAGTGAAAATTAATATCAGCTGGTTCAGTCTCAACTGATGGCCTTTAAAAATGTCTCATTACCAAGGTGTCACTCAAGAAACATCTCATGATGGGTAACAAACAGCTCTCTCAAGACCTTTGCAACCTTATTGTTGCAAAACATACTGATGGTATTGGTTACAGAAGGATTTCTATACTTCTGAATGTTCCAGTGAGCACTGTTGGGGCCATAATCTGAAAGTGGAAAAGAACATAACTTCACCATAAACTGGCTACGACCAGGTGCTCCTTACAATATTTCTGATAGAGGAGTGAAAAGAATTATCAGAAGAGTTGTCCAAGAGCCAAGGACCACTTGTGGAGAGCTTTAAAAATACCTGGAATTATTAGGTACAATTTAAAAAAAAAAAAAACAGTAAGTAATGCACTTAACTGCAATGACCCATATGCACGCTCACCATGCAAGACTTTGTTGCTGAAGAGAAAGCATGTTGAAGCTTGTTTAAAGTTTGCTGCACAACATTTAGACAAGCCTGTGAAATACTGGGGGAATATAGTCTGGTCAGATGAGATCAAAATTGAACTCTTTGGATGCCATAATATTCACCATGTTTGGAGGTCAAATGGCACTGCACATCACCCCAAAAACACCATACCAACAGTGAAGTTTGGAGGTGGGAATCATGGTGCGGGGCTGTTTTTCAGCATGCAGTACTGGCAAACTTCATATCTTTGAAGGAAGATAAATGGAAAAATGTACCAAGATATTTTTGATAACAATCTGCTGCCATCTACCAGGATGATGAAGATGAAATGAGGGTGGACATTTCAGCAAGACAATGATCCCAAACACAAAGCAGGGAAACTCTCAATTGGTTTCAAAGAGAGAGAGAGAGAAAAAATAAAGCTGCTAGAATGGACCAGCCAATCACCTGACTTGAATCCAATAGAAAATCTATGGAAAGAACTAAAGATCGGAGTTCATAGAAGAGGCCCACGGAACCTTCAAGGATTTGAAGACTGTGTGGAAGAATGGGCCAAAACCACACCTGAGCAATGCATGCGACTAGTTTCTCCATACAGGAGGCATCTTGAAGCTGTCATTACCAACAAAGGATTTTGAATGAAGTATTAAATACATTTCAGTTGGCGTGTTCAATACTTTTTTTTTTCTCTTTCTCATTCCATTTTATTACACATAACGTAATTTTTGAACTTATTTGTTTTGGTTTCTTTGTATGCATGCATTGCGTGGGTTGTTACCTTACCTTTCATGTCAATAGCACCTATCGAAATGTATTTACCTAGAAAAATGGTGTTGTGTTCAATACTTATTTTACCCGCTGTACATATATATATAGGGCGGGGGAGGTTCTAAGTACCGTAAGATTCTAGCAAAAAAAATGCAGATTTTTACATGTATGACAGAATTGGCCAGGGAGTCAAGTGGTTCTAAAGGCTTAAGGTTTTTTTTACCACAATGCATTCCACGCATTAAGGCTAAAAACCTGAGTGCAGCCCCCCCCCATACTTATCTGAGTCTGATCTTGATATAGCACTGTGCATAAGAGCAGCAACTATTTTGGGATTACCCCCCCCCCCCCCCCCATAGGCTTGGAGACAGCAGTGGGAGTTATCAGCTCCTGCTGCTATCAATCACACATAGTGAAGAGCGAGTAGGGCTGAGCCACGTGTGTAAAGGGACACACACAGCCCGGCTCAGGAGTGAGCCCATACAAGTGCCCCCATAGCAAGCAACTTTCTCTGCAGTAGGGAGGAGCCAGAAGCGCTGGCAAGGCACTCGAGAAGAGGAGGATTGGGGCTGCTCTGTGCAAAACCAGAGGTTGATTGGTAGATCAACTTCTGTTCAACTGCAGTGGTCACGCATCAATCAAATTTGGTCGATTACTGCTGAACTGGCTGAATTTCAATCCATCTTTGGCCACCTTTCATGTAGTTTTAAATTAAGCTAATGTAAATACCTGGATCTGTGTTTATATTTGCCTATTGTAATGCTTTGTACAGTAGAACAGGGAGGGAGGGGCTGCAAAATTTGGCCATAGGTGCCAGATGGGCTGTGCTGCATGCATTGGTGATGACAAGAAACAAATTGACAGATGAAAGATAAAACTTCATCTGTGTGCTGCTTCCATGTTGTCTGATCGCAGGATAGGAGCAGGGAAATCTCCATGTTGCAGTGGTGAACTGCAGAAAAGAAAACTGAGGGTACCAACCTGGATTTGTTGTCTGTTAAGGATATGCATATCTTAAGCATGTATGGACAGAATTACATATGGTTTGCAAGGTAAAACCGTTTCCATGTAGGAAATTTCATTTGTACGTTTAGAATTTTTTCTAGAGTTTAATTTTAAATTCAATGTAACTACTTGATTCTTCTTGTCTAAATTATAGAAAGAAAATGCAATGTTTTTTTTTTTTTTCTTCAGGTCAAATGACAGACTTGATATACAAAGAAAGAGATCTTGTACAGTCTCTGAAAGAGTACATTAGAGAGGAAGAAGGACGACTGGAAAAAATCAGAAGGTAAAAGAACCCCATTATTGTTCTAGCCAAAATCATTCTGCTAGCTGTGCTGATATTGTTTCATCTGCTTTTAAAGAGCACCTGTCATCAAGTGCCATATTGTGCACTGGTGTTTGCATTTTGCTGATTTTAGGATAAAGATACAAGAAAAAGAAATTTTACCATTTTAAACCAGCTGAGACAAAGAAAGATGGTACATGCTGTGCATCAGTAACTGAACATTTCCTGCTGATTACCAGAAAGCCGTTTCAGTGTTTGGGAATAATGGCAGCTCTTGGATTATGGCTTGCATGTGTTTTTGTTGGATTTGATCCCTGTGAATCATGCTTCTGTTTTTAGTTCCAGAACTGTAATTTTCATCTGTGCATAGATTTTGTGGCCCATACATCTGGGTTGTTTTATAAGATAGTACAACTTCTCCATGGTAAAATTGTGGACATAGAAACTGCAGTAAGTGACTTCTTTGAGTCAGGTCCTCAGTATAAGTTGCTGTTTAGCATGCCATGCCTTGTCCTCCGGTGACTTTCACACTATTAGCACTGGTTTGGCTACTTGTGGGTATCCATGAACTACTTGACAGCAGGTAGCAGGATGTACAAGAACATTTACTTGGTCTGCATGTTGGTAGCATTAATAGTCGTTAAATGCCACTAGCAGAGACTAAATAAACCATGGAATCTATGTTTATAAATTGAGCCTCAAAGTAGAACCACACTCCAAAAATAACCAAAAAATTGGCAAAGTCTCTTCTGCCAGAAAGCGTCTTCCTCTATCTCCAGTCAGTTTTTATTCAGCGCAGAGTATCAGCAGAGGATATATGGTGCAGTGTATGCTCTTATTTCATTCTCAGCACTTGTAAGATGGAGCCAGATGTCAGGACACTAACTTCAGTACAGAAGTTTCAGCATCGCTTGCTGTAGATTTCAGTGGCATTAAAGTGGGTCTAAATGTTTAAGGTTTTTTTACCTTTATGCATGAAGGTAAAACACCTTCCTTATGTAGCTCCAACCACAGCCCCCCCCCCCCCCCCCAATACTTGCCTAAGCAGGATCCAGCGATGTGCACGAGAGCTGTTACTCTCCTGGGTCTCTGCCTTCTTATTTGCTGAGAGACCGCCGGTGTCAATAACAGCCAGTGAGGAGGGAGCAGAGGTGGGGCTGAGATCCAATCTGTGTGTCTTATGGATGTACAGAGCGCGGGGCTCAGGAATGAGCATGCACAAGAGAGGCTTGCTCTGGGGACACTCAGAGAAGAGGAGGAGCCAGGAGCATCGGTAGAGGACCCAAGAAAAGGAGGATCAGGGCTGCTCTATGCAAAACCATTGCACAGAGCAGGTAAGCATAAATTTATTTTTTTTTTTTTTTCAATTTCAACCTTTAATATCACTTTAATGAAGGAAAGGACATACTGAAAGGTAGGTCTTCCATAATGTGCAGTCATGCTGTGTATACTTGCACATTATGCTGAGGGCCAGTCCACCACTGTAGTGATAATGTTATGCTTTAAAACTGGTCATACAAGGATTGATATTTTGCTGGTTCAGCAGGAAGTGACTAAATTTTGATCCCTGTAAGGCTCTTCCTATCTGGGAGGAGTTTATCTAATGCTCAACTCCTCCCAAACGGGACTGTCTGTATTTTTTTTGCTCAAGCAGTGCTTGCAGCCAATGAGCTGCAGTGCTGATCAGTGTGTTCTGGCAGCGGAGTCGTCCCACTGCTAGGATACAGTAGTGCAGTGGGGGATTCCCCTATCCATCTCAATTGTGTGGATGGGGGAAATAGTTCTTCCTTTTTTTTTTTTTTTTCCCCATCTAAGGCCAGCTTTAGAGGTATGGTAACAAGAAATTAGAAGCAGCTTTGTGAATTGAGCATAATGAGTGGTTCAAATCACCCAAACATTGCATATAAACAGAATGACGCTTTAATTTATGTTTTCAATGTTTGGTGTTTACAGCTGGGCTTCCCAAATAGAAGATTTGACAAGTAAATCGTCGCTTGATCCAGAGGGATTTCTTGCTCATCCTGTGAATGCCTACAAACTGGTGAAGAGGCTCAATACAGATTGGCTTTCTCTGGAGAACTTGGTGCTTCAAGATTCAACTAAAGGTAACTCATGGAATGTGGCTACATAGCTTATACTTGAATTATTAGAGTGAGCCTATGCTCATATGTCTTCATAAAGCAATGCAAACAATTTTGATGTGATAGATAAAGATTGTCAGAAAGCATTAACAAACTCTCTTGGAGAAAATTTGCCTTAGGCTAGACACAATTGGAAGGGCCACGTAATCACTGCTGAAGAAGAGGATCTTCCAATTTGGACTGTGATCCTTCTCTTTAGTAGAGGTCATGTAAGTGAGAGTCCAGAGTTTCACATTTGGGCCGTGTCATCCACACTTGGGCTTCATGCACATGGCGACAAGCGAGCATACAGCGCACGTGGAGCATAAATAGCTGGTATAAGGAAACCACAGGTACAGTGTACAGCTTCTTTTTGCAATGAATGGCTGTATGAATGCATAAACTCATGCACAGGTGTGCAACCCTAGATGCAGGCAGTCTACACCAGGTATGTAAACTTCATACACGCTGTTCGCCTTCTTGCAGCCATGTGCATGAAGCCTTAGGGTAAGTATTGCTGCCTTCTTATTACTCTTTATGTAACCACCCAGAAAGATGAACATTTTGCTAATAACAGTGTGTCCTGAACGTGAGCCAGGATTCCAGTATTAGCACTTGGCTTTGAATTTTTGCTGTTGCCAACTATTTTGATAACCCATAAGTAGAGCTGGGAGTACAGGTTTGAAGACTTACTGATTATTCTCAAGTTTATAAAGGAAACATCTGTCTTGGCCAAATTTTTTTAGAATCCTTGAGCATAAAAGATCAGTTTCTATTATTTAGGGGTAACCAAGTCCATACATTCACCTGTAGAAAAGCACCTTTTGGTACCATATCTTCGCTTTGGATTGGAAGCTCGCCTTACTGGACCATTGGAACTCTCATCCCTCTCAGAGTATAGTTATTATCACCCCCTTTTACAGTTCAGTGCTGCAGTGCCTGTGCAGCTCTTCTGCAGATCCTTGTGGGTGGGCACTAAAGATGTGACACCAGAGTGTGTCTTCTCTACCATTGCAGGCATCTTTTGCAGTATCAAAATCGTGGTAAGCTTAGACTCTCTGAACAGTAAAGCTGTGCTCTCCTAGGCACCTATGTAAAATGTCAAATTTAAAGGAGAAGTACAGCCAAAGCTTTTTTGGCTGTACTTCTCCTGTGGATCACAGGAGGTGTAGTTCAGTCCGCTGAAAACGGATGACAGGAGTGCAGAACGAAGTCCACTGTCGGCTGATGGCACTCAGCCAGTCCTGGCTGGGGAAAGATCCCGACTTCAAAGTCGGGATCCACCCCACTGTCTGAAGTGGCACCTGGCTCAGACTGTCAGCGAAATGTTGAGAGCCTGAACCAGCTATTCCCTCCCCCTCCACAGCCAACACTCCAGTGAGCACTGAGGGGGCTAAGCAGATAGAAGGGGAAATTGTTATTCAAAGGTGGTCTTTATTTAAAACAAGGAGCTTGGTAATGGTAGACTGTGATAAATCTGTGTTCTAGTCATATTGGTGATGGCTTCCTCTGCTGTGCTACTGGAACATATTGCTCTAGACCAACCTGCGGCCTTTGGGCCACATGTGGCCTAAGGTGGGTATGAATGCAGGCCAACACAAAATTGTGAACTCGCTTAAAAATGTTGATTATATTTTTTGGGTAAAAATGCATTTTACATTTGGCGAACACCTACATTTGTGAGCAACTACTTTCAAGGATGAAGCACATGAGAGGGCAGAATTAGAACTAAAGTATCTGATAAACATCTTGAGAATTGCTACTACATCCATTGAACCAGATACTGATGTGCTCGTTTATCATAAGCTGCGTCGCATATCACCTGTTTTGCTGCCCTCTCCTACTTTTTAATAACAAATATTACACTTTATGCATAATAGTTAAAAAACCTTCAGTGTGCAGCCCCCCCCCCCCTCAGCCCCCCCCCTCTTATACTCTCTCTCTCTTTTTGGCTGACACAAAGAAGCAGGAGTCATTGGCTTCCACGGTTATTAATCACAGCCAATGAGCCAATGAGGAGAGAGTGGGGCTCAGGAGAGAGCATTCATCAGTGCCCTAGAGCAAGTGGCTTGCTATTGGTGGCACTGGTCAAAGGGGAGGAACCAGGAGTGCAGCAGAGCACCTGAGAAGGAAAGGAGAAAAGGATCGGGGCTGCTCTGTGCAAAACAATTGTATGACATGTTTGTTGAAAAAAAAAAAAAATACTAAACCTTTATGATTACTTTAACTTGTGATGTGCCCCAACATTTTTCTGCTCATGAGATTTTCTTCGAGAAACATAGAAAAGTGAAGGCAGAAAAAGACCGAGTGGTCCATCGAATCTGCTCATTAGTGTATATTGTTAGTATATTTTGTGTGTGTGCCCAAGACAATTCCTCTTCTTCTTCAATTGAGGCCCAGTAAGGTCCCAAAGGTATCCAACCCTGCTCTAGAAAATGAACTAGAAACTTTTGACTTGTCCTGATTATTAAAGCCATCCATCCTTTTCTCCACATCAGGGACAGTAGTATGTAAAATAAGATTGAGTAGTCCTTAATTCATCTCATTATGCATTACTCAAAGAATCATTATTTCATATGACACCCTCAGAAAGCCATGCTGGCTGGGTAAACTTCTTATTCAAGCAGAGTGGAAAGAAAAGGGAGCCACAGTAAGTTTGTTAGACAGTTTCTAATACCCAATTACCTAGGAATGCTTTAAAGAAAACTTCTGCCCAGAGGATAGGTAGGTTCCTCTTAGTGACAACCTTCTGAAAAATGCTAGCCTTTTTGATTTTGTGTGGCCTCAATACTTTGAGTCACTGGCCCATAACAAATATGAAGAAGTATAAAAAAAAATAAAATCTGGATTGGATTTATGAGTCAGAGGTTGGGAAAGTATTGAAGCCACTGGATCAGCATGACAGCCAGACAACCAGTATTTAACCCCTTCACGCCTAAGGGTAAAACAAATCTAAGTGCCCAAGCACAATTCTGCAACGTTGACATGTGACAGGTGGATTATACCTTTGTTTTTTTTCAGGACAAATTGGGCTTTCATTTGGTGGTAAATGGTAATGGATAGCTCCTAATTTTTTTTTTATTATCAAAAAAAACTAGTAAAAAAAAAAAAATATTTTTTTATTTAGCTGTGTGTTTCTTGTTACGACCATAACCTACCACCAAAGAACAACCCAAAATAAATTCTCCAGCTCTTGACGATCGCAGCAATACCATATATGCGTATGTTATTTGTTGTTTGTACCTGTAGTACAGCCCAGAAACAATAGTGCGCATTTTGTTTTTGTCTTTTTTTTTTTTTTTGCCTAAAACACACTGACACTGACATTAACGCTAGCTGACACTGATACTCATTTTTTTTTTAAATCCTGACCTTTGACCTTGAACTCTGACCCAAACACTAACCCTGGTACTGTACTAGATCAAACCTTGATCTAGGTATTTTTCTTTATTTTTTTTCTTTTATTTTTTACTATTTATTTATTTATTCTTCTTTTTTTTTTTTTTTACAAACATTTTTTTTATCTCTCTATGTCAGGAGTTAGAGAGATACAATGTATCTCTCTTCTCCATTCATAGAGAGAGAAAAAAGAAGGGGGGGCCAGGCTGCACAGTGACTGATCACTGTGATAGCCAATCAGAGGCTATCACAGCGATCACGTAACCCGGAATTGGGAGTCCCAGGTCCCGATCGTTAGAACGGGACCCGGGCTCTCAGTGACACCGCGGTCTCTGTGCTAGGAGTGCGCTGAATGGCGCTCTCCCAGCACAAAGACAGGTACGCAAATATGCGGCCCCACGGAAAAAAGCCCAGTTCCGTAAGGCCGCATATTTGTGTGCCGTCGGCGTCAAGGGGTTAAGAAGGATCAGTCAGCAGCAGGGGCGGACTGACAACTCATGGGTCCCCCGGGCAATAGGGGATCATGGGGCCCCTGTGTCCTTGCCCATACCCAAAAAGCCTATGAAAAAGCTAATGAAAGGTACCAGGGGCATCTCATGGGGCCCCCTACTGACCCCAGGCCCTCGGACAGTGCCCTAGTGCTCGAATGGTCAGTCCACCCCTGGTCTGCAGTATATTTCTCTGAATATGGGTTTCCTTTATTTCATTCTGGAATTAACTGGTCAGTAATTGAATTCGCTGGCCTTCAGTCTTCATGAAAACTGTATTTAGATGGCTCAGACAGAAGTTTCCAGTAATTTAAATTCGTCTCATGGGGTTTTGTACTATACAAGCTATGCATGTTTCATCTATTGTTGGCTGACATTGCATGTAGTTTTTTTTTTTTCTTCAGTGAGTGAGGTACTGATGACTTTCACATAAGCATGTTTTCCCTTTTATCCTCAGCTTGTTTTCAAGTAATGAAGTATTCTAACCAGCCAAGACTTTGCACATGTTCTGTGTAGACTTGGCTGAAAACTTTGCTTCTCTGCCATGCATTACCACAAGAATAATTCTTGACCTTCTCATCCTACTTTTATATTATGCTGCTAGTGCAATGAAAGTCAATTTCCTAAACTTGGAACGGCAACTGGTTGATGTGCTACATTAATTGGATTCCTGCATAATCTTGACACTTTTTACAGACTTGAAAATTGTACTGCTTTACTGTTTCAGCCCTTAAATCAGCATAACGGCATAAAGCATACTGCAGATGTGGAAATAAAAAACTACACACGTTAAAGGGAAGATGCAATGGCTTGTTCTGAGTCAAAAAAAAAAAAGATTTCTGGGTTTCTAACAATACAGCCTGGCTTAACTGCTGTCCTTTGAACAGTCTCTATCTAAATGACAACTCATGAAAAGCCCTATAAACTAGAGAGGGTCTGTATCTCCGTTGTTCATTCAGCTGTGTGAATATTCTGAATAGGATTTCAAATTTCACCTTGTGGAAGTAAAGATTTACAGAAAACTTGCTGTCTGTGAACACTAGGGCACTGCCCACTACCTGTTTTATTAAATTTTCATATGTAGTTTTACTTATTTAA